CCCGCCAGCCAGGGCGGTAATGGGGCTGCGCAGGGCGGCGGTAGCGGCCCTCGAAGGCGGCCTGCTGGGCCGGGTCCCTGTCCCCTCGTCAGCCGCGGCCTGGAGGCACGCGGCGCACTTCACCTTCCAGCCGGACCCAGCGCCCAGCGCCCACGGTGAGAGCGGCGGGTACGGCGACGTCAGCAGTTGCTATAGTGACGACGCACCGGCCCGGGTGCGGCCCCCCTGCGGCAAGGGCCAAAGCGCGGGGCCAGCCTGATTCCCCTCCCCCCCGCCCCGGCGGTGCTGGCTGCACTGCGCAGGCGCACGGCAGCGCCTGGTGCTCCGCCCCCACGGCCAGCTCCTGTCCCGTCATGGGGGTAGACTGCCATCCCTTCCCCTTCCCCTCGGGCTTGGGAGCCTGGCAGCAGGGGAGGGAGACGGGCGGGATTGTAATAGGCGCTACTCCCTTCCCCATCCCCCCGCCGGGTGCAGCCCAGGGGCTGGGGGTGAGTGCCCGTTGGGGCTCCCTCTGGCCCTGCTTTTCCAGCACAGCTCTGCGCTGTGGCCCAGCCTTGCTGGCACCACGGTTGGTGGGGGTCCCCTGCTGAGGGGGTGAGTCTAAAAAAGAAAGAAAGAAAAAAAGGGCTACACAGCCTCACGCACGTGTGTCCATATGACTCCGGGACGTGGGTTGGGGTACGTTCCCCAACTGGTGCTGGCAAGGATCTGATCAGTAGAGACTGGTCCAGTTAATAAAAGGAAATAAAAAGTTTGGAAGGAACCTTTTTGCGGCTCCTGTGCCCCCACCTGCCCCAGTGAGGTGGTTGTAAGGGCATAAGGTTTCCGATGTCTTCCCATATAGGCAGTGTTGGGGCATCCTGGCCCCATGACCTTCCCCTTCTCTGAAGAGGGGCCATGGCTGCTTACCATGGCCGACTGGTGCCTCCCGAGTCTGGGGTGACACCAGATCACTGAGCAGGGGGGTCCCCCAGTGGCCGATTGCCAAGTGTGGAAATGCCAGTGACGAAACCAGAAGTGCGCTTGCGTTGACACTTCAGGTTTCATGGCTGGTGTTTCCGGGGGATGCACAGTCAATCTCAGGGGGTGCACATGCACCCCCTCCATGTCGCCAGTGCTGCTTACTTTGCTGCTAGATCTTTTTCCCCAACTTCCAAGGAAGTCAGGAAGCGCGAGGCTGCTCAGGACCCTCAGCCTATGTGCCCACTTCAGGTTTTAGGGCCTGTACTTGTTGCTGTGTGGGCCAGGCTCATTAGATAGGAAGGGGGGTGGGGATCAATAAGGATCCAGGGCTGCCTTTACTGGGATTTCCCACATTGTAGCCTTTTTTTTTTTTTTTTTTTTTTTTAGAAGACTTGCGTGTTCGTGTTCAGTATCAAGGAAATGTTCAATGTAACTTGACAATTGTCTTCAAGCCAGTGAAAGTCAAGGCAGAGATGGTGCTGCTGACTATCATGGATGTGGTAGATTGTATTTCTTTAGATCCCTCTCTCCCAGGAATTCAAAAAGAAGCCTCAAAAATACAGAATTTGGGAACAGATCAAAGCAATCACTACTATACTAAGCTAGCAAGACTTTGGGGATAATTCAGGGTGCCTGTACACATGCAGTGAGGCTGCTCTGATGTGCTGTAATTACAGTGCATTGGAGCAGACTGTAGCATCACGTGAATCAGCATCCCTGTGCTGAAAAATGGCAGCGGGGGGGGGGTGCACTAACCAATGTTCA